CATCCAAGCTCCGCGAGGAAAGGGACTTTAGTGTCTGATGTCACCGCTTCGTTCCAGGTACACTGTAGACACTCAGTAACACTTGTTGAGTAAATAAAATAAATGAAGAGGGGGACACAGAGAAATAATCAAGTGAGAAACCTCTGGGCAGCCCCTCAGGAACTATCTGGAAACTACTGAGTCCACTAGGCCTTTCTTACAGCTGAGAGACGCAGCGGAAGGGAGCCTGCCGACGGCTACGGAGCCCTGGGCACCACCGAGGCCGACAACGGGACTGCTAGAGGCTTGCCAGCTGTCAACACCCATTGGCACCGTGCAGGTGTGCAGTGTGGACAGGTAACGGGGTTTGCTAAGGCCACGCCCTCACTCTGAGCAGAGATAGGGACGCTGATTTCATTCGGTGGTTGAGAGGCTCAGATGAGGCCATCCATTAAAGCATCATCCTAGCGCGTGATGAGCAAGCAGCTGAGAATTCGTAGCTGTGGGTGAGAAATCACGACCAGCGGCCTTTTTAAAAGCAGAAACAAGCCTTTGGAAGAAGATAAATACCATACACCCTCACTCATATGTGGAATCTAACGAATACAATAAACTGACGAACAAAATAAACCCAGAGGCGTGGACGCAGGGAACAGACGGACAGATCTCAGGGCGGGGACTGGAAGAGCTAGCCAGAGAACATACACGCACACGTGCGAAGCCCAGGGACACAGACAACGATGTGGTGAAGGCCGGGGGTGGGGGGTGTTGGGTACAGGCAGGCAAGGGGGAAGTGGGGGGCATCTATGTCAACAATAAAAAATAAAGGAGATAAAAATAAGAGAAAATAAAAATAAAAAAATAGAAGCAGTGGCTCTCAACCTTGGCTGCAAAATGGACTCCACCCCCCAGCCCCCACTCACAGATGGACAAAATCCTAATGTCTTGAGACCCTCATTTCACCGGGTGGGTTGGGGCAGGCAGGATGAGAGAAGTTTTAAAAGCTCCCCTGAGAACTCGAATGTGGGGCCGGAACTGAAAACCATCTCCTTAAAGACGTCTACAGAGGGAGCCTTAGAGGGTCTGCAGACATCGGATTCCGGCATGCCAGTGACTTCTCCTTGAGAGACACCGTGTCTGCCCCTCCCGCCCCCCCTCACACGCCTCTCACGCTGCACTTGGAGAAGAGCGCCGGAGCCAGGCAGGCTCTTGGACAACGTGCGCCCAAGTCATTCAAACAACCGTAAGAAAGGGTTCCCGTCCAAAGGCCGATGGTGTGGCATCCTGCTACGATGCTGGGGCTCCGTGGGCTATAAATTACCGGTCAGCTAACAGTTAATTGTGAACCGGAGCACGATGCAGAATTCACCAAGGTTGTGATTAGTTGAGCCTAGAGAATGGCTCCAGTCGGGGTGCTGGCAGGGGATCAGAGACTGACTTAATGGGTCTCCCTGCGGGGGCGGTGGAGCAGGGTGGGGGGAAGTGGCGTTCTATCTTGTACGGTGGGTTTTTCAAGAGCTGTTACCACTCGGTGTTTTCCTCCATGGGCTCAGTCCCACTGGTAGCTCTCAGATGGTTTATAAGAATGTTCCCCAGGATAACTAGGTCTCAAGTAAACATTTTATATTGGCAACTTCGCCAATAGCAAAATATTGTGGTCTTGAAACCAATTCCACCCCAGGCGTCTATAAATTATCAGATCTGGAACCTGCAAAATCACCGTGTGTCATGGGAGAGTCAAGTACTTCTTTGTTACATTTCTTAAGGGTGTAAATTCATGTTTCTTTCTGTGTGGTTCCTGATGTGGTTGGAAATGAATTTAAAATGCCAGTTTATGACTTTGATAAATCTTTGGGGTGCACACACACCACCCTCCCCAGCAGAGGCAGTCAGTGAAATGCTAGGAGCTGGAAAATTATGAAGAAGTATTTTCATCTCCTAAGAAACTGACTCAAGGGCTTTCTGGTGGGCGTTTGATCTCAACCAACAGGAAAAACAATGCGATTTCATTTTCTCTCCCTAAAACACCCTTTCAAGGGGACTCCATGCTGGCAGCGGCACTGGGCGGCCTGACAGATTGAATGGCTCCAGGCTGCTGAATCGGGCTGAATCTCAATTTTATCATCAAACGAAACTGGAATGTGGAAGGCATGGAAAAGAGAAGGAGAAGGAGAAGAAAGAAAAAGAAACAAACTCTTTCATGAGAAAGAACCCAGGTTAAAATGCAGCCTAGAATTTTACGTGAATTTGAATCGTGAAAGCATGAGATACAAACATATTAACAGAGTGTCACTTCATGGACCTCGTTTGAAACAAATAAAAATCCTCTTTTCCCTTCATTTCCATGTGGAAATTAGGTTTTGCTTAGGCACGTGCTGGATTACACGGGATTATCGGAAAGTCATCCCTGAGAACATGGCTGCTGTTAAGAGCAGGTGCCCAAGGTGTTGTGGTCCCCCCGGGACCGGCCACCAGAAGGGGGCAGGAGACGAGGCTTCATATTTTCCAATTTGGGAGATTTTTTTTTTTGGTATGGGCCTTACTTTTTTATGGGCCTTACTGCGTTAATTCCAATGTTTTCGTTTTAAAACTTTGCATGGAAACATCGTTCAACTTTAATGTCTCCGTGACCAGGGTTCACAGATGGTGCCCTGCCCCGGGCAGCTGCTTCTCTGCCCAGGAGTTCCACAAACCAGCTCAGTGCCTGGGACCTGCCTTCTGTTTCTTCCTGGATTACAACCGTGGGCTGTCATTCTTCCACCTACCCTCTCCGTCTGACTAGTGCCCTGCAGCCTCCCATCCTGTTCATCTTAACCAGCATAAACTGGATCGCAGACAAAGTAAGGTCCTCAAATTACGAGAATCACTTACAACCAGGCTGAGTTAAGGCTAAGGGCCTGATCGGGGACAGGAACTTCTGGGAATGGCTGCCCAGCAGCCCAGGGGCTGCCTTTGGGGTGGGAGGCAGAGCTGGACAGGGGCTTGTTCCAGCCGAAGACTCGGTCTGACCTTCAGCCCTGGGGCATTAAGCACGCAGTATGTGCTACACAGCTGATGTGCTGGCCGGGAGAGGCAGCCGGTGAGTCGGCTATGCATGGGCTCAGGTCGGGCCGGGGCTGGAATCCCTCTCCGGGCTGCTAGCCAGCTCCGGCCACGTGACCCAGGGCTGTCCCTCCACATGCACCTGGGGAGAAACGGCAGGGCCTGCCCACAGAGGTCGTGAGCACGCCTGTCTAAGCGTGTCTGGAAAGTGCTTAGATGCGAACTTAGTGCTAGTATGTAAAACAATAAAGTAAGTCTCACCTAAGTGGCTACTCTCACTCAAAGATGAAATAACTCACGTCTGCTGCGGCCAGTCCATCCAGCAAACCTAACAAAGCCCACACCGGCCGCCCATACTGTGTGGGGTGACTCGAACTGCACCGCCACCGCTGTCACCAGGGAAGCCCCTTCTCCCCGACGGCCTTGCATTTCATCTCGACCTGGTGACATTCTTAGAGACAACCTGAAGTGTGGCCAACCCATGAATAAACAATGACCTGAACTCGTAAGAGTCCTTCAAGGGTTCATAGACACTCCTCAATAGCATTCTGTCTTCCGTTCCGTTGTAGCTGACATTTCACACGGACATCCACAAAAAGGCTAAACGAGGGTTTTAAAAACCGGAATAGAAACGTGTGCTTGTCACGGAAAATCTAAAACTTCAGACGAGCCTGCGGAAAACCATTCACGCTCTCGCCACCAGGCCAGGCCTCGCCCTCCAGGGTCCCATGTGGCCGCCCGTGTCTGAGCGTGTGGGACAGACACGGCGGTGGTGCAGATTACAGTTTGGGGGCAGATCCTTCTGACACCCACTCATGTTAGAAATTCTAAAAATACAGGGTGGGGCAAAAGCAGGTTTACAGTGGCGAGTGCGTGAAACAACGGCATGGGATGGCGGGAAGGAAGCCAAATTGTACCCGGACGCCACCCCACCTCCGGGCACCCGGCCAGGCCCTTCTCTCGTGAGCCCGTGACCGCTGCGGAGTTCGTGGAAGCCAGGGCCCGAGGAAGGCAAGTTCCCGTGGGGTGTCTGGATGGGACCCGGTCATGGGCCTGTCCCAGCATGAGACCTGCTGGGAGGGCTCCACTGGAGGGCCATCTGGTCCGATTTCTCCCGTGACTTTTCTAATCAGAGCCGGGCAGTGGCTGGGCTGGGACCAGAATCATGACCTCTGTTTCCCACGGCTGCACTTTGGCCATGAGGCCTGGCACACACTCAGTCTTTAATAAAGAGGGAGAAGTAGAGGGAGAGTAACGTCGATGTGCCAGAGAACACCGATCAGCTGCCTCTCACAGGCCTGGTCTGCCACCCAGGCCTGTGCCCTGACCGGGAATTGAACCCTTGATCTTCCAATTCACAGGTCAGTGCTCAACCCACTGTGCCATACCAGCCAGGGCTCGGGAACTTATTTTAATGCTCATTCCATATTTCCCCCAAGATTAGTAAAAAATCTAAACATTACCCATGTTTCTGTCTTAAAAAAAAAGGAGTGGGGGGAGACAGACTTTAATGTTTCTTTGGTTAAATACACTAAAAGCAGGAGCGGGGTTGGGGGTGACTCGAGGGCTAATGTCCAGAGGGGCTGCCTGGGCTCCCCATGTGTCCGAGGCACACAGAGGGACTGGAGGGTGGCTGGGCTGGCCCTGCATGCATCCCACTGCTGTCCCCCACCTGCCCAGGCCACCTGCCAAGTTCTCTGTCAACACTGCAGCCCCCAGAACCTGGGGCAGGGGGTGGGGGGGGTCTGCGCAGTTCTAACCGTTGCCCAACCCTAAGCCTGTCCGATGAGAACCCTGCTGAGCCCCTCACGAGCAATGCAGGGTTAAGGCAGAGAAGGTACTCTCTGAAGGCATGCGGCTGGAACGTGTCTCTACTCTGTAACAGGGACCTAAAGGTAACGATAAACACGGCCTCAGATGGTCTTGAAATGTTGCCCCTGCAGCTATCACCGAAGCTGTCGGTGGTGTCAGCGACTTACCTGCCAGGGGATCTCCAGTGCTGTCTGCAAAGCCATTTTCTTCTCCCTGGAAACCAAAGAGCAACCGTTATTAAAATCAAACTTGTGCACAAATGGAGGTATTACCAATTTTCCAATTTAGTTAAATGTCCACCAAAACCTGGGGTGGGGTGATTGGTGAGAAGAATGGTATTACGACGGCCATGAACTCCGCCCCCCACTCAGAGGGTAAGGCTGCATGCTCCCTCGGCTGGGTCCCCAGTGCCCAGCACGGCCGGCCCGCCGAGGACACTCAGCGAATGTTTGTTAAATGAATGGCTGTCCCCCGTTTTAACAAGTATATTGATGTTTGCAACAATGTGCCACTGTTTTATTTGTATTTCACCTCCTGCATCATTTCCCTTACTGTGCTTCTCATCTACTTCTTGGCGGGCTGTGTGTCAGGCCAGGTGATAATTCTTTCTTCGTGTCTTGTACCTTTTAAATACACACTAGGAAGCAGCAAAGAGAAACTTCGGCAAGAGCGGCACCCAAATCTCGAGAGATGACCATGTCTCCACCTGTATGATGGGGCTCATTTTCATGACCAAGGCCCTGGGAGGGATGGACTCTGACCTTGAAGGGCGTGTGTGCATACGTGTGTGCATGTGTGCATGAGTGTGTGTGTCTACAACCCTGTCAGCAGACCGCAGCCCCAGTCTGTGCTGCTGTTAACCCATCTCCGACACCTCAGCTAACACGACCCCTACACCCTCTGCGTTGCGGAGGGACTCCAGAGTTGGGTCAGAAGCCCCGGTTTCCCTCCAGCTGCCTTATAACCAGGCGCGTGGCGTCCCCACACTGGTCTCCATTCCTCGATTGTACAGCACGATGGAGGACAGGCGAGAACCGTCTCCAAGTGCCCTGAGTCCTCGGATCTCGGTGCGTTTCACCCTTAAAGATGTGCTAACTCCCTGGTGTCGAACATTTTAAACATGTTCCTTTCCCTTTAAGGCTACACAACACGGCCTACTTGACTTCATCTTGCACGGTCTGGAGAAAACTGTTAACGAAGTCGCTGTCTGGCCGGCATCGTCCCCATGATGAAGACAAGGGACCCGACGCAGAAAAGTACTTGTGCAGGTTGATGGTGACGGAACTTAGGGTCGCATCTATGACCCCTGTTCTTGCTCTGATTCCTGTTTCTGGTGGTTCTCTCTGCTTCTAAGAAGCCTTTCTCCTCACGGCAAGCTCATAAACGCCCGTGTCTCGGCTGTGTAAACACACTTGTCTAATTACAAGTTAATTTTTTCACGTTCCTCCATCCCACCAGCTGGGTTTTCCCCTCACTCGATACCTCTTGCTTCTGTTTGAGTCTCTGCCACTGTCTCTCCTGGAACAAAGAGCCAGTTGCTCCCCCACACCTATTACCGTTTGCAAGAGAGGAGAGCGGAAGCCTTTGAAAGAACAAAACCTCCCTACATTTACAAGGCCAAGTCCAGAAGCTTCACGAGGCTGAGCTTCCCTCCTCACTGCGCAGCGGGTCGTGCGGAGACCTGTGAGTGCGGCGTGGCCCTGGCAGGAGTGGCAGGGACGCGCTGTTGCTGCCACTGTCACACTCTGCCCCCTGAACCAGACACAGGAACCGAAACAGAACCTTCCGGAGGCGTGAGGCACAAACATTCAGCTTGGCAGGGTCTGTGGTATGACCGAGGTCCCTGCTGAACAGGAACTTCCCTTGAAGGCTACACAACACGGCCTACTTGACTTCATCTTGCACAGTCGGGAGAAAACTGTTAACGAAGTTGCTGTCTGGCCGGCATCGTCCCCATGATGAAGACAAGGGACCCGACGCAGAAAAGTACTTGTGAAGGTTGATGATGAGGGAACTTAGGGTCGCATCTATGACCCCTGTTCTTGCTCTGATCCCTGTTTCCGGTGGTTTTCCGGGAGTGGAATCGGAAAAGCCTTCTCTGTGTGGTGTTCAGGGTCTCGTAGAAACCGAATCCCTGCCTCTTCCCAACACTTGTCTACTGAGCAGCTTGTTCCCGCGTTGGGCCCGGCAGACAAAGGAGAAACGCCCTGAACCCCGACCTCAGGGCCTGCCCTCTGCCACACTGGGGTCACAGAGACACAGGAGTAACTAAAACACCGGCAGGGATGTGACCTCTGAGAGGGAGAGGGAGCTCCTCAGAGAGCAGGGGTTTCTTCAGACAGAAAAAAACCCACCGAGGCGGCTTCTTTGAAGCAAAGACACTTGAGAGGAGCCCTGCTGAGGATCTGGAGTGGGGACTTGGGAGGCAAGGGCGTTTGGCCAGAGGCCCACGTGAGCAGGCAGTAGCCTGGGGCCCCGCGGGGCATTCTGTCGCAGCAAAGGCAGCGAGGGAGCCGCCAGAGGGCGATGAGATGGTGGAGGCGACCGAGGCCAGAGGGAGACCTGGAGGCCTGTCGGAGGAGCAGGGCTGCACATCGCGCCAATGAGGCACCCTCATCAGAGCCCTGAGCAGAGCAGGGGCCCCTCAGAGCTCTGGGCAGGGAGGAGACTCCACTGGCTGCAGGGGAGGGGGGGTCCCTGGTGGTCAGGGACAGCGTGGAGGCCAGGAACCGGGGGTGCGGTGGGGAAAGCAGGACTGACTCACAGGCAAGGGTGGATGAGACCCCAAACCACCATCCTGGGGGAGGAAGGGCCCAGGCTGGGGCCACCGCAGAGGTGGAGCCACTGGGGGCAGGGGAGGCAGGGTGGGGGCCGGGGTGTGTGGAGGCGAGGTGAAGGGCAGGTCTGTCCCAGCTGAATCACGGTGCTGGGGTGGGGAGGCCCCCGCAGGAGAGGAAATGGTGCGGTGGTTGTGGGAGAAGGCACAGGTGGTGGAGAACCAGGAGTGAGGTCACAGCCAAACACCCACATTCAGCGCGGGGAGGAAGGAGAGAGGAAGGCAGACAAAAGGGGTCACAGCGAGAGGTGACTGTCAAAAGCTGCAGGAAGGCTGGAGGCTCTGAGGAGAGGAGTGAGTGGTAGTTTCTGAAGGCAGGACTGGCTGGCTTCCACCCAAGAGGCGGTGGGGACATGGAGGAGGCCAGAGGGGACAAAGAGATGGCCGGCACCCAAGCACGGCTGCAGGCGAGCTCCCCCAGCCCTTCTCTCTGCTGAGCTTTCCTGTATCTCTGTTGAGCCCTCAGCTTAGGCACCACCTCTGGGAAACCGTCTCCCAAGTCCCAGTCTGGTCCTGCCCCCTAGGTGTGCCCACAGCATCCCGTATGGGTGCCCCACCAGGCCCTGGTTCCACTGAGTGTAGAGGTTTGAAGTGTCTCTTCTGCTCTAGACTCTAACTACAAGGCAAAGATCTTATCCTGGTGCTGGGGTGACTTGTACACCTGAGACAGGTACCACCACACACCTGCAAAGGGAGGCTGAGTGAGGGGTGGGGAGGAAAGGAGACACAGGGCACCTGGGGAGGGACTCCCCCCACCACGCCCACCTTTCCCTGCTCCTGCTCTCTGGCCTCACCTCCTCAGGTACCAGCTGCTCGAGCTCCACCCCACTTCATCTCTCTGGATCCTCATCCACGCCATCCCTCACCTGGATCCTGCACACTCAGTCACAGTCAGCACGTTAGTGACATGTTTGAAAACACCCTAGATCTGTGCGCCGACTGTGGGCCCCTCAGCTGCCTTAGCGCTGGGATGGACTCCCCTGCCTCAGCCTCGCCCTGAGTGTTTCCGAGCTCAGGAATCAGATCTCAGCGGGGCCCCGGCTGCGCCTTGGTTTTGTGGGAGACACGAACGGCTTAACAACACATGGCATAGTATTCAGCTTTAAAAAGGAAGGCAACTGTGACATCTGCTACACCATGGATGAACTTTGAGGACATCATGCTCAGTGGAAGAAGCCAGTCACAGAGGATAACTATTGTAAGACCCTGTTTATGTGAGGGACCCGGAGGAGTCAAGTTTGAACAGACAGGAAGTAAGACAGGGCCTGCCAGGAGCTGGGGGAGAGAGAGGGGGAGTTATACTTCAGTTTGGGAAGAGGAGAAAGTTCTGGAGGTGACGGTGGTGGCGGCTGCACTGCAGTGTGAATGTCGTTAATGCTACAGAGCTGTGCACTCAGAAGTGGTCCAGTGGCAAACACATGTTCTATGTATCACATCACAACAAGAAATGCTCACCTCCTTAGTAACTTTGAGGGTATCACAAAGTTAATACCAACGTTTTGTATATCCTCAAGTAGGCTAAAGACAAGCCCCATTTTGTAAAACTTTCCCATTGCAAGTACGAGGGACTACCTGATGTTTGGGGAGATGTGGTGACTGCTGCCTGGAGTTCTCTGGGCAGAGAGAGAGGTGGGCGGTCACTCCGATCTGCACTCTGCTCACAGGTCCCACCTCTGCTCAGGGAGCAGCAGGCACTGGGTGCTGGAGAGCCCCCTGCAGACCACACCTGCTGGCTTCTCACCGGCTCCGAGAGACCCCGGGGCCAAGGAAACACCCTGGCGACCCTCTGCACTCGGAGCGGGCATGCACCCCACTGCAGTCCACGTGGGGCCTGACAGAGGGCCCAGACACTGACACAGGTCGGGGGAGGTGGCAGCCGATGCCAAGGGGCTGTCTTCTGCTGCGCTCCACTGTCCCACCCTTAACTCTCTACACTCAGCGAACGGACCCAGGATTCCACCTTCATTACTGGCAAACTGAGAGGCGTCTGCTTGGAAACCGAATCGTCCCAGCTCACCCGGCACCGGCAACTGAGCCTGCAGGCAGATAGCCGGAGAAGCAACGCCTCCTGCAGATGACTTCTTGCTGGAGGGACGTGGGGGCCCCAGCCAGTCAGAGCGGGAAACCAGCATCTCCCCGAGGACCGCCCACGCTTAAGCCTGAGTGGAGGGCCTTGAAAACAGGAGTTTAAACGCCGAGGTGTGGACGGTAACAGGGAGCAGACAAGCACAGACTTAACTGTCTCACTCAGCGGATCCTGTCGGGTCTTTCTAAAGCAATTTATACCAGTTTTCTCTGCAAAGTAATTACTATTATTGTAATAACGGTGTGCACTTACTTTTTCATCGAAGTTTAATATGCACATAGAAAACCGGCG